GTACAGAAATGGGAAATCCAGACTCTTGACCGTTTAGCGTTAGCCGTTAGCTTCACCAGACGATCACATGCTCACCTGGTTTCTGGCCTGTGCAGCTCCACCTAGTGGTGGGAGGCTATCATTTTGCAGGTAAAATAATCAATCATGCATTATGGGAGATGTAGTTTAAGGTCAAAGCTGRCTTTAAAGGAGCATACATTTATGTAAAAACAAAAAACGTCTTTGAAGATCTACGGCCCACATAAAATAGCATGGCGGGTCCCATTTGGCCTGCTGGCCTTGAGTTTGACACCTGATTTCTGTATTTTTGCACTTTAGGTTTCATGATTTTAGAGTCCTCTGATGCTCATGGGTCGAGAATTTTTAATCAGATTTCTAGTTTTTAGACAGACGGTTTGTGGTTGACTTTTCTGTTATGTTTCTGGTTGTTTTGTTAAGTTTGCAGTCAAGGAGTGTTTTAATCTATTTTTTGTTCTTCCAGGAACATTTTCTTCAACCGAAAGCCTCGAACCTTGCTCACCGTGTGTCACGTGCCCACCTAGCATCCCCACACTAGCCTCCTGCTCAGCCTCCAGTGACRCAGAATGCGGGTGCGACACCGGCTACTTCCTCTACAAACTTTACAGCATGTGCGCGCCGTGCTCCAAGTGTAGGCGTGGCGAGGGCGTGACCCAGGAGTGCACGCACCGGGGGGACCGGCTGTGCCAGATCTGCGGCCCGGGGACCTTCTCGGAGGAGCATCACGGCACCAAACCGTGTCAGACCTGCACCCGGTGCTCCGACAGCGAGGTGGAGATCCGTGCCTGCCTGCCTAACTCCGACACGCTCTGCATGGGTGAGTTCAGGTCGTCTGAAACAAATAGTTCCCAATTTAAGATCAAGCGCAGCCTTAATGGGAAATTATCAACCATTCTTTAAGGTTTTGTCACAAATATTTTTATAATCACCTGCAGATTTGTAAAACATCATTCTAAAGGGAAGAAACTTTTCTGAGTGGAAAACTCATTACTCAAAAATGGGGTTCTGTGGAGGATCTTTGAGCTGTCAGTATCTTACTTGTTGTAGATAGCTCTGTGTTCGACCTCTGTTTGATCAAGTTAGCTAATCTGAGCAAGGAGAATATTAGAACAGATTGCCGAGGTCTTAAAACCATTTCATATTCATTAATTTCATAGCAGTTTGTGTGAACTTTGTTTTATGCAACTTTACTCCATTTTCTAATTCACGTCAAAACAATTTTTAATAAAATATGGTTATTTGCAGGAGATTGAAGCTCTGTGTTCAGTAATGTGTGAATCACAGGTAAACATAAAGCACTGAAAAAAATCTATTTTTTTTAAGTTTTTGTATTTTGTTTTACACCAAAATAATAATTTTCTTCTGCCAGCTTGTTCGCAACATATTTCATTTTGCAGCAAACGTTGCACATTAAAGTGCCTGTGACGTAAAATTTTTTAAATACATGTGAATGCATTTTTAGAAAAAGGACATTGATAAAATATTGCAAAAGAAATTTCATGTCGCTGAGATGAACAGTTGTTGAGATATTTGCCTGTGAAGTAACAGGAAGTGATGTCAAAGGGGAATGTCTGCATGTGAACAAAGCGTTGTTACAACAGATAACACAGACTGTAGAAAAGAATATGTTGTTTATTTTGAGTCACTAATCAGAGAGTTTTCTTTGTTAGAGTTCCCCTTTGATGTCACTTCCTGTTTCACTTTGGCTGAGCCAAGTTCAAAAGAAAATATACCAGTTATGGGACAAAAGGGCTTAAATTGTGTGTATTATTCCAACTTTCTTAAATATAAAGATGTTTTCTTTGACTTTTTTATATTTGAAGAACATGCATGTCACAGGCTCTTTGAACATACTGATGTTAAAACCTCAGATTAAGCTGTTTCGGTTTAAATAACCATATAAAAGTAAAGTGATGCCAAGTAAAAACATTTTTACGACAAGCTCTGATTTTTTTGTTTTATTTTTATTTTTTATTTTTTTGTTAGGACTGAAGCTCAGCCTTGTTTGTGTTAGCTGTTACCTTATCTGTCAGGTCACAATTAAACATTTTTTCCTCCAAATAAAGTTGCTTAAAGAGCTATCTACAACAGGTAAGACACTGATGTCTTCTAACATCTCCACAAAACCACACTTAAAATTAATCCCACCACTGAAATTGTACATAAATAGATWAAAAAAAAGTAAAACTCTGAGCTAAATAGAAGAAATGTAAGGGTTTGGACATGTGGTTAACATGTGGAGCCACACCTCACCTCTGTGCAGAAAAACAGCACTAATGAAACATAAAAACCCACTTAAGACATGTGGTCCAGCTCATGTGGTTTTGACAGGTCTTTAGGTTAACTGTCCCCCCTGAAGGCCGACTGAGGCAGCTGACAGTTGGTCCGCTTGCCCCCAAACAGCTACACTTGCTCCCCAGGAGCAGGGTCATCCGTGCGCTCTGAAAGTTCACATGCCGTGGCCCTTTGACCCCGCCCCCTCAAAGATCAACATGTTTGATCCCAGAATATCTGGACCACAGGAGGGGCAGTGACATCCTCAGGGGGTGAGGAGGGCCGAGGCTATCGTTACATCTGGCCCTGCTTTATGTGCAGATGCTCCTCTCTGACACGTCCTTTCCTTGCAGATAAGAAGCTGCACATCATGTCTCGTCCTGCCGATGCAGACGGAGYCCAGGCCACCTCTCAGTGGTCCGTTTCAGAGGAGGAGGTCAACCGCACACCAGAACCGTCCAAGTTCACCCCGTTGGACGACGGGGGAAGCAGCAACATCATTGCTTACGTGTCTGTTCTGGCAGCTGTGGTGCTGGGATTAATCATTTATGTGGCTTATAAATGGTGAGATTATTACTGGACTATAGTTCTGTAATAAGAAGTGTGTGATCAGCCTGCTTTCATCTGCGTTTTCTTTTTTTTTTTCTTCTTTTTTTTCAGTTGGAGGTCGTGCAAACAGAAGAGGGCTCTGTCTAAGGCTCACGCAGCTGAGCTGGCAACGTCTCCGGAAGGAGAGAAACTCCAAAGTGACAGCGGGGTTTTCCTGGACTCCTACAGCCTGCAGGACAACCAGCTCAATAAAGGTGAGGGCTTGGAGCTGCAGACTCCTCCCACTTTGATGCGCTTCTTCCCATAATATGGGATAAATCTTGTGCCAGCAGGAACTGAATTAGAATTGCTCAGATTGAATCTGAATGTGCAGAATTTGATACTGAATRCATTGGTTTGAAAATAAATTTCACTRAATTGAAACTGAATTTAATGGTTTGAATTTGAATTACTTTACTTTGAAACTGTATTTTGGTTTATTAAAAATTCAGTTTGACTACTTTCACTTTCAGTTCCATAATTCAGATTTTTGTGTCACATCCTGGTCCTTCAGAAAGCCAGGCAGAGTAATCAAACACAGATCCACAGATTTATGTTTCACTTTGGTGAAGTTTCCCTTCTGAATGTAACAGAGTTGATGCAATCCACTGTAAAAGTGACAAAAACAGACAAAGGTATTTTATTGCAGTGATTAATTTGACCTATACTGTATGTAGAAAATGTTACATTTACATCACATCATGGATCAGTCAGCAGCAGCATCTGATCAATATGTGATCCATGATGTGATGTAAATGTAACATTTTCTACATACAGGTAAAATTAATCACTATAATAAAATACCTTTGTTTTTGTCACTTTTACAGTGGATTGCATCAACTCTGTTACATACAGAAGGGAAACTTCACCAAAGTGAAACATAAATCTGTGGATCTGTGTTTGATTACTCTGCCTGGCTTTCTCAAGGACCAGGATGTGACACAAAAATCTGAATTATGAAACTGAAGTTGAATTATGGAGCTGAAGTTGAATTATGGAGCTGAAAGTGAAAGTAATCAAAAGGAGATAGGTACTACTTCTTGACTGCAAAACACATATTTTACTTCAGACTGGTATCCATTCATTTACATCTTATACGCCATGACCTTCGACTCCAATTAGTTATGGGCAAGCCTATCTATTTTATATACCTTAATTACTTTTTTCTCACTCACTGACTCACTGACTGACTCACTCACTCACTCACTCACTCACTCACTCACTCACTCACTCACTCACTCACT